GCAACAACATTTGCTGAAAATGCACTTTCGGATGAGATGATCTATGAACAAGATGGCACCTATATTCGATATATGGTTCCACGTACAATATTAACAATAACATTCAGTGAACAGCCATTTTTTCTTCAGAATAATCAAAAACCTGTCGTTCGTATTGCCGAACTTGCCTTTCATACTTTACTTTTCTGTACTCTTGTCATCGAATTATTTGCCTTGACTTTTCTCGTCTTAAAATTAATCAGTAAACCTTTTATTCATCTCATTTGTTGCTGTTGGAGACGATCAGACAATCAATCGTGCGAACTTCCAACAACATTATCGAAAAAAAATGTGCATAAAGAGAATTCGTCTGGTATGATCAATCATAGATTAAGATTATTTGAATTACGTCGAAAACTTCATACGTTAAGACGACAAAAACGCAAACAAAACAATGAAAAAACCACGCATGAGACGGTTCGTGAACCGTCAAATTTCGCGATTGAAAGCAGTACTTTCTAAACAAGTAAACCAATTCTTGTTTTTTTCATTTTTTTTCTTCTAAAACAAAATTATCGAAGTTTTTAAATTAAGTTTCGCTTGTTCTACCTGAGTAAAATAAATTCTACTTAGATGCTACCCAACCGTATGGTTCTCTCATTTCAAATGTCATAGATCATAATTATTGAAAAGAAACAAAAATTATATTTGATGGTAAGCAGTTCGGTGTGGGTGTGTGTATGAGGTGTGGGTGTGAAAGGAAAGAACATGAACACCCACGCCCACACCCTGATCGTTGAATTACAGAAAATAAGGTGCTGCTTTTTTTCTTAGTTTTTGATAGTTTGATATAGAAACAGATTGAAGATCGTTCAATATCATACAAATAGATTAAGATCAGTATACAAAGTTTTTCAATTATACGGCCTGTCCACAGGTAACGCACTCACCCATTTTTGACCTTCCGGTTGTCATAACTCACTAAACTCTGCTTGACAAAGAGCTGAAATTTATACTGTAGTCAGATATATGAAAATTCTCGTTGCACTAAAATTTTTATTTCATTAAGTCAAATGGTAACGATTCTAGAAGGATCGAAAGGTGCGGTAACGCACTCATTCAAAAGGACCCTCCCATGACAGTGACTCAGAAAAATGTATATTTTCAGAAATTTTTTCGCTTCGAAAGAAAATATTTTTATTTATGTATCAAGCTAAGACAACAGACTTTATAATAATGAAACTTATTTTTTGGAAGTTTGTGCCTACAAACATTAATCAGGAAAACATCACGGTAACGCACTCAGCACTTGGTAACGCACTCATCAATTTTTTTTGGCTACATATTGAAGCACATTTTTTTATAGGTTTAATAGCAATAGAAGGTGATCTATCGATGTCAAACAGTAAATCAGTCTTCGATAATACTACTATGATTTCCACTTTTTCAAATGATACAGTAGTGTTTGAAATATGATTGTGAGAATAAGGTCCCGTTTTTACCGTTTTTGGCACAAAAAATGCTTGATTTTGGCTGGCGACTGCCATTTATTCTCCTTTTTTTTCAAAACAGATGACATCTATTGATAGAGTATATACGAAAACCTATAAAAAATTTTGGAATGAATGAGCTCGGTTGTCATTATATTCAAGAATTTCTCTGCTCAACTTTGGCCAAGCTGGGCCCATTTTAGCTGGACAAGCCGTATAGGTGATTTTGTTCTATTTTCGATTTTCCAAATGAAAATCATTTCTTATTTGCAGTTGACGTTTAGAATTTCCTTCTGGAGTGAGATGGAACAACTATCATCAGATTGTTGCAAATAGTGCCTTAGTTTTGTTTCTTTCAGAAAACGCGTTATTTACTTTTGTAAGTGGTTTTTAAAGGCATTTTTTAGCCAATATCGATTTCCATAGAAACTAGCTTTTCAGTAGAAACACATATAGATAAGATTTCACTTATTGGAATATTTCATTCAGTAACAGGCACAGTTGTAGGCTTGTTCAGAAAACTTATTAATAGTTGTCAATCGTATCCTATAAGGAAAATCTAAAGATATATCTGAAAAGAGCGTATGTTTTGTGCTACAACTTTCGCACCATAGGTTACATTAGAGAGAAAATCACTAGTATCTATGCTCTCAAAAATAGGTGTTTGCTAAGAGGAAACAAGTGAAAGTTCCATGCTTCAGCGTACACCAAAAGTATGTCAAAGTTATCCTCTAGAACCTTATAGTTATTTCAAGTCTACTATCAACGTGTATTGCAAACATATTTTCGCTCTCTTGTTGTTTGCTCTTCGGAATATTGGCTGTAGAATCTATTTGATTCTCTAGTAAACATTTTCGTTCATATGTATGACACACCATGTATCCGAAATAGATTTTACTTGCAAGTAGAAAAGACTTCGATGGAAAAGCTTATTGATTTTGTACGTCATGCTTTTCACAGATAGGACAATGAAATAAAATAATACTTTTTTGGATTGATATTTATGCCTATGGACATACGAGCGTAAAGGATTAATCTATTGTTCTTATGAACATATTATACTTCTATGATACATTGTACTGAATAGATAATATTTTTCATTAATCATAAATTGTTTGTCGAAAAGATATTGAATTTTGTCTTTTTTTTTTAGATTACTATTATTACAAGAAAAAGTCAAATATGGGAAGTAGATTATCTGCATTAAGAGATACAGTATATAATTCAAAATGATGAGAATTTCTTGGTAGAGATGAAACTCAATGGGGTAAATTAGAACTCATAATTCAACTATTAATTTAGACATATATTTATCGATCTTCATAGGAAAATTAGGCATTCTTTTTTTTTACTTTGTTTGAGTGAATTTTTCTGTACAATGTTAGCTGTACTTATGGGATTATCACCATGAGATCATCCACGTTATTATTCAAAATCATCATGTATGCGTACTCATTCAATTTCTCTTTTGCCAGGTTTGTATTATTGCTGAGAATAAAGTTTAAATAAATTATTTGTTTTGAAATTAATTTTAGGTTTAGGTTTTCGACCACAGTTAGATATAGAAAAAAAATCTTATTTTAATTTATAAACATGCTTCAAGAAATGAAGTAGACTCTTATGTTAAAAGTCTTAATCAAATATCTTAGAGTTTGTAAGTAAAAATTTATTTAATGAAAAAAATAAATGTTCTTTTTTTTTCGTCTACGATTAGATTATTGGAAACAAGATAATGATGAATTTAGTCAAATAAAGAAATTCAAAATTTCTAATCCAGGTGATCATACATCTCAAAATCAATATGGATTTTCTAATGAAAAACCATGTGTACTTGTTAAAATGAATAAAGTGAAACAAAGAAAAAAGGCTATAGATAAGAAAATAAATAAAATCCTATTGAATTATAAATTGTTGGTTTTATTCAAAAGTCAGGTTATTTATCACAAGATGAAGATGCATTTAAATCTGCTCGATGTCGATCTCGTTCTAATGCTATTACTGTTCATTGTTATGGAGAAGTAATTTATTATTTTTTGTCTATCAAGAAAAAAAAAATCTTGGTTGTTTGTTTTCTCTTATTTAGTATCCGGCTCATACTGATAATATTAAGAATATAACTTATATATCTGAGAATGGTCATGATAATAACTGGGGTGTACATGATACCAAATGGTTTCCTTATGAGTAAGAATGTTGTTTTTTTTTAACATGATTGGATAGAGCTTATCGATTTATCTTGTTTTTGTAGCGAAAATTAGAAAAGCCTATAAAAATTGAAAGATGCCAAAAGTATCAAGTCTTGGTAGCCTCAACATTTATTCGAGTACTTTTGGATTTTATTTGTCATGTGGTTAGAAAAAACACTTACGCAAAGTTAATATCAAGTCGATTGTTTATAAAAGGAAATATTTTTCTTAGGGGTAAAAAAGAACATCAAGATGTATATCAAGCACCGTATGTATGAATTCAATTTAATCAAGTTAAACTAAATGTATTAATTAATGTTATATGTCGAGTATTTGGTGCAAATATTAATTTTGATAGAAAATCATCTCGAACTCTACCACGTTTCCAAATATACATAAAAGATATACCAAAAAAACGAATATCAAGTAAAACAGATGAAATATGAATCAATGTTTTTTTTTATCAAATATATTCATAAATATGATCTAGGGAATCAAAAGTTATATTTCTATTTGTTTGTACTCTTTTTTATTGTGCAATAATCTCCATGTAATTTTTTTCTGTCTCAATTAATGAATTTTCTTTTTTTCATGTTTATCTTGATCTGTATTATATATAGTTCTTTCGAGTAAAATAAATGTAATTTACTTTAACTGTACAACTAACAATAACACTTTATTAGGCTGACGACTCTAATTCTAGATAAATTTTTCTTCTCTGTAGTAAAATACCTTTTTTGTTACTTTCATAAGTTATATCTTGTCATATATAATCGTCTTCAAACATATGAACTTTACTTCTTGCCTATAAAATATAAAATAACTTTCTTTGCTTTTTATTTTAAGTATTATTCAAATATTAATTAATAATAATCAAACTATTTCTGAATGAAGAAAATAGTGTTTTAAATATAGAAGAAATTCTGGTTTATTGTGTAAAAGAAGATAATTGATTTTGAAACAATTAATCCGTGTTGCATCTCTTGTAAAAGCGTGCGCAACTTTTTCTAAAGAATCATAATCCACATGAAGATAAACACTATTTAGTAAAGACATTTTAATATTGACTAAAAATTGTTCGACATAATTTTTATGAGTTCAAACAAGATCAAGCTGAGTAAGATGAGAATATTTGATGATTGACCGTTGTTGATTGTCGTTCTTCTGGGGTTCTCGATTATGAAAAAATTAATTTTTCCATCTATGGAAAAGATTGAGCAATTTGAAGAAAAAAATCATGTTCAAAAGAAGGTTCATCAAATAAGTATACTTCACGAATACATTTAAATAATCCACCAGGAAAATTATTCGTTATATCATTATAATATGCCAATGTATATGGATATGAATAAATATGACAATGAAATTCATCTGCTTTTGAAAAATAATTAACGCATGAAATAATTTGATTATTTTGGAAATTTCTAAATGTATTTTGAA